CTTTCCCTCAGTGTGGGGAGGTGAGAGGTTTGGGTCTCCTTTGGGTACTGTAGCCCTTAGAATTGGCATCACCCTCCACAGTTGCTTTTTCCTTTTGAGGGCACAAGGAGGAAAAGGCTCCACAGGCCACTGCTGTTTCAGTGGAGCCCTTGTCACCATCTCCCACCCTGCTGCCCCAGGCTATCCCAGGATGCTGTTGTATGGCTTGTCAGAGAGCTCAGCTGGCTTTGCCTGAGGTAGGAGCCCATCCCTCTGCCTTCAGTACAAGCTCTGTGAGCCTCTACTGCCAGCACCCCCCTCTCCAGCTGTCCTCAGCAGCCACGCAGCATGTCCACAGGAGCCAGGAAAGGGACAAGAGACTGTATCACATAACACAGCCTACAGAAGCCCTTCAGCCATGGATTCATCTCCCCTTCCTGCACATGCTCTGCTACTCCCAGGTGGAGATTTTCCTGACTGGACAATGTCATACCCATCTAGGGAAAGCCTTTAAGGCAAGCTGTCATTTTTTCTCTAAGGCACTTTAATGATCCAAGCTGGCAGGAAGTGAGCTGGGAGGCACAAACTACTTTTCAGAGCAGGGTCAGAATAAAGCAAAACATGTATTAACAATGTTCCTGTGACTCTAGATCAAGCACGTGAAGCTGTTTTACTCATACTGTTGGGGAGAAGTGAGGGCTTGTCTAATGGGTGCTCCTAATTCCACCAACCACTTTATCCAGTGCCACCAGAACGCAATGACTCTGTCCCAGTGTTGTCCACACTACCCTCCCTCAGCTCCTGTGGACTCATTCCCCTTACCTTCACAGGAGACAGCTTCCCAAATCCAGACCCTCATGGGAAAAGAACAAGCTCCCTTCTATATTTATTAGGCCAAAACCTCTTGAGTGTGGCAGGGCAGAGCACAAGTCTCACTGGAAATATGGCACGGTGCCAAAGCCAATGGACATCCTCTGGGTTCACATCAGGAAAACAGCTGAAAGACCAGCCATCCTTCCAACAAATCTGACTCATGTGCAAGATCACAGGAGGGACAAAGCTTTCTTCTTTGCCTACACTTGCTAGGTACCAGCTCCTTCTTCCCCTCCAAGGAAAGCACTGTGCAAAAAGGGGAAGGTTGGGACAAAAGTCCTGCTGATCTTCACTCAACCAGAACATGCCTTTGCAGATGCAAGTGGAGTTTCACTTGAGTAAGCACTAGGGACTTCAAGACACCTGGCATCAACTGCTGAAGTTGCTCATGAACATGAAGATGGAAGTCTCAAGCAGTCATCTTGGCTCAGGGTATGTGCAACTGCATGGGATGCACAGCTGGGGCATGAAGGGAATGTGGAAAATGGGTATTCAGGTGTGTGTGACAACTGCAGGAGAAAGTCGGCTGGGCTTCAGGCTATAGAAGTGATTGTCACCAAAACAGCATTTCATTTATATTTACAACTAATACTCTGAGAAACAGGTCAGACAAAAATAACCCATGAAAGGATGTGAGGGTAGTAAAAGATGGTCTGATCAGAGACACTGTGAAATGCATTAGTAATGAGACTTCCAGCCCTGACTCCAAACACAGACCTGGAATCAAAGAATAATGCTGCTGTCTCATCCCAGTGGGAGATGGAAAGCCCAAGATGATGGCTAACAGCCCAGACTTCAACATAGCTAAGCATTTTTAAATACCCTACTAATGGGATTGCCTGGTCCCTCTGTCTCTAGACTACTTGGCACTTCCCTCTGGGCAACGTAGAGCAGCGTGAGCACAGACTTTGAGCACATGGTTCATGCTAGCTAAGGGAGCAAGAGCTGGGGAGCTGCAGTGTCAATCTGTGCCTGGTGAAACTACTTGCATCCAGCCCTGTCTGTTCTTCCCAGGAGGGACATTGCTATCCCCAGCTGAGAAATAAATACCCTGTAGTGCAGGGCTCACAAGTTGCTGGTAGTGTTTTGCAGTGGCCGAGCACAGTGCGGTACAAACCATGCACAGGCATTACAGCACTGTCAACAACAAAACCCCACAGGCTGGGTTTTCCTGAAAGACCTAGAGCTACCAAACATACAAAAGCTGAATTACTACCATAGGAAATAAAGTAATAAAAAAAAACCCCAAAACCCAAAACAAAACAAAAGGGGGAGTCAGCTTGTGAATGTGATAAGAAAAAAATATGATAGCACCTCTAAGGAGGGGGTAGGGAGAGTAAGAGTGAGATGAGGTCAAAAGGAACCATGTTGTGTTGGAGCCCACAATGTACTGGAGGAGCTGCTGGGGACAGTCTGGTGGAAAGCAAGGAGGAATGTGCTGGACTCGTGCCAGCAGCATGGCACCATGACTTCCAGGTGCCACAAGACGCTGCCCAGCTGAGAAGAGCCCGAGCAGAAGGGGAGGGTAAGCAGGGCAAGGCGGTCGGCTAAGGACGCCCTGCAGCACACGTGCTCAGCCACTAAACTGCCCGGCCTCTGCTGCCGCAGCCAAGGCCGGTGCTGACAACTGTGTTGACTGAACACCCCTTCTTCTATCCAGCACTGACCTCCATCCTTTCCCCAGATCCAGAGGAACAACAAATCCCTGTTAGCTCTTGGAGAGAGCAGCTCTGTGCTCTGGGAAAGGGTCCCGGAGGCTGCTGTAAGTCCCTCCCAGCCTTCCAAGGCCCCAGCAATGAAGCTCCCTGAACAGGTGGGCTCTGCTCCCCTTTCCTGGCCCCATTCTCTGTGTATTACAAAACAAATAACCCATTGCTATACAATGTAAATATCTGTGACTGGGCAACTGTAGTAGACAACTTGTGCATACTGAGATCAGCATGGGAGGACAGGGTGGCAGGTTGGGCCTGTCCTCTTGGGCTCCTCCGATGTGGAGGCCCCTCACATTTCCTTGGTGCTCATTCTCTTGGTCTTCTCAGCTGTCTCCTAGAAAAAGAGAGCACAGAAGTGAAGCTCTGCACTAACACAGGAGCTGGCAGTGCCCTGAAGCCTTTGGTCCACCCACAAGCAGTGCCAGCACTGGCTTATACCTTAAAGCCCCACACCTGTGTTTGTCCCCATAGGCAACAGGGATCCCCCTTTACTCTGCTCCCCCTTCTACCAGAAGTCACCAACTGATAGAACCAGAGGGATCCCCTCCAGCAAGGAGAGACTTGGTGCATGCAGACCTTCCCAGCCACATGCTAACCTGATGCTTCTGCAGTTCCTGAACGTATCTAGCCAGCTCCTCCTCAGTCAAGTCTTGATCAGGTCGCTGTCTCTGAGCAGGCACCTTCTCATTCTTCCCTGCAAACAGAAATGGAGTTCAGTGTCACTGCAAATGGGGGATGCAAATTTCAGAGGCTGAACCACAGAGAACAAAAAGAGTTAGGTCAGCCACAGCATACCTCAAACTTAGGAAAGCTTTGCTGGAGGAAGGTATGGACTGGCTTCTTAGAAAAAAAGGAATCTTGTGGCTGCCTGGAGGAAGGTATGGACTGGCTTCTTAGAAAAAAAAGTGGATTTTGTGGCTGCCTGGTACTTCAGAACCTGGATATCCAGTCTGTCCCTGTCTCTCCCTCCCATGTGATAAATAATAAAACCATAAGGAACAGGCTGCATATGATTTAAAAGAAGCATCTTTCGTTATCCCTCTGACAATAGCCTCTAGGTCCTCTGATATGGGCAAAAAGTCAATAAATTATTGTGCCATTGTATGCTCCAGCCATGGATGCAGGGAACTAAGCAGACAGAAAGACCACATGTTGCATAGCAACTTTGAAGGTTGTTTCTGGGGAGGCAGCAAAAAGAGTCTCATATTTGGTTGCTTAGCCTCTGAGACCTACCCACACCCCCTCTGATAGCTCTATTTGTATTCTGTTACCTGTTCTGAGGTGAGACCCTGCTGCCACAACCAAATCTGGGCTGAGGTGATCCTGAAGCCTCTGCCACAGAAGGCCAGATAAACATGGAAGAAACTGTACATACGTGTTGCTGTTCCACTCACTCCTTCATCTGCCCAAGCTATTGGCTACAGGTCTGAACTAACGAACTGCTGACAGCTCCAGCACAGCCCTGAAAACTAAACTCAGAGAAAGGCCTGGTTTCTAGGGAAGAAAGCCAGAAAAACGCAGGTCTTTCTACTGACCCTGCATATGTGAGAAGGCAAACCAGTGAGGTTTTTTTCACAACCCTACCACGACTTCTCCCAATTGTAACATGGCTGTGAAGGTTTAACAAGGACCTTCCAGGGGCAGAACCGGCAGACCAACAACCCTGCCTTACTATGAACACCACCTCCCTTCATCTCCACCATTACTTTCTCTTATGTCTACAGGTTGTATGGCAAGAAGCTGAAGTACTTTCTTGACATTTCCAGACAAAGTTCCCCATGTCCTCTATGTGACAAAGTGAGAGCCTAGCTCCTGCTTTACAGATACCATAAACACAGATACAGTGAGGATACTGCCACACAGGCAGGAAACCTGACTTGCTCACGCCCACGCAGATGGTTGCAGACAGTGACCTATTTGGTCTGTTCATGCCCCAAGCCAGCTGGATATCGAGTAGCTCTCGTCTGGAAGGTTTACTGCTGAATTTTCATGACACCAAATCCGAAGTACAAACCCCAGCATCATTGCCCCCAACCCAGTTACACACTTGCTGACCTCTAAAATAACACCAGCTTGGGTTTGGTCAATGTAGAGCACAGGAGGGTGAAGCCACCCAGATAAAGAAGCTGAGACAGAGCTGTGGAGAGAAGAATAGCTGGTGCCCTCGGAAAGACAGAAAGCACACCCTCCCTCCCCCTTTTGTAGAAAACCAAATACAATAACCCTTTGGAGAGCATACAGACCCTCGCATGTCATTGCAGTGCACACCCAGTTCCCACAGGCACAGACGCAGCGGTTGCACTCCACCTGGGTCTCTGCTCCATCCTCATAGGTTTCATCTTCCAGGGCACACTCTAGAGAGGCAGAAAATGAGGGCAGTGGTTGTGAGATAGCAAGCAGGCTAAAGCCAGCATACTTTGGAGATGCACTGAGGGAGAAGAGGTGCACAGTTTTACAGCAGGCCTTCCTTCCCCATACCACTAAAACTCTCCTAATGACTAAAACATTCACGCTGAATTCCACTTGTGAAATCAGCCAAAAAATAATTCTGAGCAAGTCAAACACCTCATTTTGCTTCCTCAAAATATCACATTTCTCAATTCCAAATGAAATCTCAATGTTAGGTTTGTTTGAATTTCCTAATTGGTTATAAATAGAATAGGACCCTCAAAGTGAAAGTTTTGGTTACACTGAAACAACTCCTGTTCCAGGTGGGGAGAAGTTGGAGAAATGATTTGTGCATTTGCTGCTGACCTGAGAAAGAAAAACAACAAAAATAAAAATAAAAGGGGAAAAACAAAAATAAAAAAGGTTTGTCATTTCAGCTCACATTTCCTCACAACTCTATTATATGTTTGAGTTGAAGCCTCCAAAGAACTCAAGGGCCTGTATGGTGTTAAGTGAAAACCAGCCCATCATGTTTGCTGGGGAAGGTGCAGCTTTCCTGGCTTCCCACTGAAATAGGCAACAGAGAGCTCAACTTAATATTCCCTAAGAAGCATAGCCTGTGTCTGCTCCTCAGTGCCACCACAGTGGGATGCAAATCTGGCACCTTTGGACCAGCACCCCCTGAGGAGACAATTAGACAAATGGCTAGGCACGCCTGGTCAACAGAAAACTAAGCTGCTTCCACGTGAACTGTAGCACTAAGCAGGATTTGGAAGGATAGCGAACTTTGAGATGTTCATCAGGGGGCTCTCTGTGTGAAAGGCAGAGCATAGCAGGACTTTGGTCAGTTATTCAGATGCGAACTCCTCACATGATTTATCTCCACACACACGCCTAAATACATGCCTTGACCTTCCAAGCATACCATATCCATTTGACCTATGCCCTTGCTTCTAAAATTCAAACTTTTTTCTGTAAGCTGTGAGAGCTCTGGGACAGAAAAAGTGGTACTTCTGACAATGCAGGGACAAGGATTGCTGTCGGATAGGAGGCTGGCATATATCCACATTATTTCTGGGAGTGGAGTTACAGCACTCAATGTCTGGCTCAAAAGCTCATCTGTCTTCTTTCCTCCCTTCCCAGAACTCCTCTGGTTTCCCAATATAAGTAATGAGTTCCTACTTTTCTCTGGTGGGTTGAAGGATGGGCTGAGGCACTTGAGAAACTCATTGAAGCTGAGCTTCCAGTCAGCATTTTCATCTGAGAGCTCGATGAGGGCATCTACGCAGAGTCCCCTGAAAGGAAACAGAGAGGCACGTTCTGCACAGGGCTGTACCAGGCAGGTCCCTGCTTCAGAGTACAGATGAGTAAACCTAGTAACAGCTAAGAAGGCCTGGCAGAAGTGGCTTCTCTAAGGAAACCTCACTACATATAGACAAGAAAAACAGACACAAAAGACTCCCTTGGCTGGTGAAGGTCTGGGAAGTGAGAAGATACTCAGAACAGCAGCAGTCGGACCCTGTTGACGTCTACACGCAGTCACACAAGTACAGATGTGAGCACGGCCTGACCATAAGCAGCCTGTTCTCCTCATTGTCTCAGGCACAGTGGCACAGCCACAGAAAAATGGAAACCTCTCAGACTGCATTTTCATGAGATGCTTGCACCAGCTCTAACTGCAGGATGCCTTCTTCCTTGCACTGGAAGGCCTTACCAGGCAAAAGGTCAGTGAAGTTAACTTCTTCGGAAATATAAAAGACAATAAATTTTCTGACACCTGACTCACCTTCTGGCTGCATATCTACTAGATTTAAGGCAAAAGAGGGTTAGGATCCATGCCTTACCTGAAGGGTAGGAGTGGGACTGCTCCTTTTGGTGGGGTTCATACCTAATTAAGTGAGAAGCCACTTCATACAGTTATCTTTGTTATTGCAAGCCCTAAATGGTATTTTCTGCAAGTGGATTTTCATGCCTCTTCTGCCACACCTGGGCCCTTGACCCTCCTTCTGGCAGCCTGTCCACTGCCTACCTGAGCAGCTTGTTGGTCTCCTGGTCCATGTAGGTGGTGATGTTGACAGCAGTCTCATTCTGCTCCACAAACTTCAGGAATTCAGTGGAGTCCAAGCGAGAATCGCCATCGTCAAAGCTCTGTA